TAGAAAAACTAAATTGTTTATTTTGTTCTTTTCTATCAAAAAAAAGAAAAGAAAAAATATACAATACATTTTCATACAAATAATGTTTGATTTCTGTCTTAATGGTTAGTATTCATTCTTTATCACTAATAAATTTCTATAATTCCCTAATCACAGTTTATAAAGTATGCCTTCCTTATTTTTCATCCTAATTGGTGAAAAACAATGGTGTAATATTTCTACAACTAATAAAATATAACTTTTACTATATGTCTCCATAACTCAAAAACATTAACCTAAAAGTAATAAAACAACACTATAAAATGTGACAAATTGGATACAGTTAAGGTTGAAATAATATACAAATACATAAAAACAGACGTGAAAGGAATGATACAGAACAGAGGTTACGGAAGGCAAATTTTGGAGAGTTATAGGCTACTAGTTATATTTTTTCTTATCTTTATTCTGAGAACTGAATAGTGTTCAAAATATAAACACTCCAAACATGAATGACTGAACTTCAACTGCTGTAGATGCAATGACTGAGAAATCCACTATACATAAAATAGTTTTCATGAAAGATGAGACAAAAGTTATCTAATCATTCTGGATTTCATCTTCATGTCAGAAGATAAATGTGACATGTATGAGGATTCTGACACCATTCATATTTATGGTGTTTGGTTGGTAAGTACTAGCTGATGACCAGAAATTCTCTTTTCAGTATCTCAAAATTTACCCAATTATCAACTATATGGGCATAATAAACTATCTTTAATGTTATTAAAGCTTGTAAATGTTGGGTGAAATGGACATTATTTGATTACTATGTCTACTTATGCTCAGGTTTTAATTGACACACAAAAAAATGGAAGACTGTTTGCAGACATATCTACACTGAAAAATTGTAGAAGATAGCAGCACATACAATGTGTGATTACCATAAACTGTCATAAATAATCAAACTTCTAAAGATGATAGGCAAGTGGGGAACATGTAGATTCTTGGTTCTGTTCAGTGTTCTTAGATATTAAATATGCTTCTTCGAAGATTTGCTGCAAGACCAAGTTCATAATAGTTGAAATAGTTCAATCATTGTTCATTGCAGTTACTGGTTATATAAATGAAAATGTAATTTTAATTAAAAAATAACAATTGTTATACTTTCAAACAATGAAATTCTAATAAAAAATTTCTTTGAATTGGTGTTAACAGTAATGCTTGATTCAACAAAAATGTATTTGCTGTTGCTCTGAAATACAGCTTAATCCTAATAGCCTACAACTCTCACTATATAACACACCAAAAGAGTAATTGCAAAAAAACAACAACAACTAATATGTCAACACAGAAAGAACATATCAAAATACTTCTACTGTGATCATAAGTTACCAGCCCATAGCTTTCCACTCAGGTTTCCAAAGTTACTGTTGGCAGTGATGAATTACTTGCATAGTATTTGAAATACACACAGCTGGCAGTTTACACTAAAACTTTTGGTAAATGAGATGAAAAGAAAACATAAGCAAAAAACAGGTAGCATTATCTAAAGGCACGATCACAAGAGCATTTCATCACTAACAAATCTCTGATAATATAAAAGTTCTCCTAAGATGTGGACATTATGTTGCAGATTCCTACATGCATCAACTGGGTTCAAGCACATGGACAGAATTGTTCAGAAGAGCCAACATCTCAGGTTAATTCAGAGAAATTAAATCTAGTAGACCAAGTGTGTATAAGAGAAAATAGTGGCCTATGCACATGGTGCAACTGCCATACATGTTATCTTTCCCATGTAACCGCACCTTAAAAGAAGCTCTTCCAACTAATATGGTTATCCAAAAGTTAACAAAAATCTTATCAAATCTGAGAAAATACTTTTAATACCTGATTAAAATATATTTTCTTGCAATACTGTTGACCTGACATATTGATGTCAGCTGACCTATAAGAGAATGACAATGTTAAAGGTTTTATAGTTCTACTTTCCACTGCATTATACTTTTTAGCAAATGACCTTTATTATAATCCTAACTATGTATAGAGAAAGTACATATATATGTATATAATTAAATCTACAGCTATTCATATTCTAGCAAAATTTGGCACTTTTGAGTAAGGACTGTAATTTGTGTTTATATTAGTTCTAGCTGAAAATGCTTAACAAAGACTGAATTGGAAGAGTAAGATCATATGCACAATTCTCTCAATGTATATTCCTCACTACAGAATGATAAGTTGCAATGACTTCACCTTTTCCTTCACTGACAGAAATGTTTGAAAAAAAAAAAAAATATATATATATTATTCAAAATAAAGTTGCACAGTATTGATAACTTGTACATTAACTATAGCTACCAATGAACAAACTCAAAATTTCAGTTATCATATAATAAGTTTTCTTCACATTTGAAGACTACTATACAGAAAAAGTGATATTTCCTTACTTCCACTTGCAATTCAAAGAAGGGAAGAAAGAAAGAGAGAGAAGTGTGGGGAAAATGATAATGGTTCA